AAAGAGGTGAAAACTGGACGCTCGTTCGGCAAGGATGAGAGATGACAGGTGGACAATGCGGACTGCTGAGTGGTATCCTGCTAATATAGAGTGGACAGTGGATATGCAGAACCATCAACAAAACAGGAGGATCTTCTTGAAACGCCCATAAGGAACTACTGGGGTACGGTTAATTCAGAACGAAGCATTGAACGTATAGTAATTTGTTGCACAAATAGCGAAAAACATGCAGATGTTATGTTTGTTTACAAAAAATACAGAAAAAGCCATGAAGTTTGCCCTGGATTTTGGGAAAATTTCGGAAGTTATGTTTCTATCATTCACGATTTCGCATAAAAATGCCGAAATTTCAAAATTTTTCAAAAAATGGTCGCTCGGACGGTCCCGAAAAGGTGATACATATACATCGAACAGGAAATTGGCACTAACTGGAGGTATGGAGCCGAAGTTTAAGGGTCTTGGCATAACTACATCCGGGATATAAGAGGATCCCAGTAACATCAGGGGAATATCCCCTGGTTACCCGGCTAAGCAGGGACAAGTGCAGACATGAGCTTGGTAAATTTAATTTTCATTTGTGTATGCGAAGAGGCCAAAACGCCCAAAGGGTCAGAATGATAAGATCGAAGAACACTTTTAAAATGAGATTTCAGCAAAAAAAAAAATATTTCCTATCCGAGTTTGGTGCACTTTTGACACATTGTTTTTACTTTAATTTCATTTACGACTGTCAAAGGAAAAGCTTTTTCTCTATATTTGATTAGAATGTTTTTGTCTGTGTGTTTTGTATGTTTATGTACATGTGTGTGTGCGTATGTATGTCTGTTTATGTGTGTATTTGCATGTGTTTGTCTGTGCCTGTGTGTACATGTGCATATGTTTTTGCATGTGCCTTTTTTGCGGTTGTGAAAGTATGTCTGTACGAAATGCAGGATATATGCACTCTCAATTGTCTGATAGCGGATTAAACTGTCTTTGAAACTGCGGAAATTTTGCAAATCCAGACAGGCGATGCTTGGCAAATCCGAAGATGTTCATTATTTGACATCTCTGTCTCTGTGAAGAGCTGCAATTAGTGATTTGCTGAGGCTCCATTTTTTTTTTCAGTAACTAAAGTCTGACTTTAAAATTCCCACAATAAGACAAAATTCAAAAAAAAGACAGTGTAACAAATTACAAATTCATTTTGGCCATGTGTTCTATGACACGCTTTTGCAGCTACCTAATGGGATAATGATAGTAATAATAACAGTGACAAGAATAATAGCAGTGATAATACTAATTACAACGAAACAAAATTGA